GCCGCAATTTCCAGGGAGATTGGATGGGGTCAGAGGATCTGCCCTTTGCCTACACCAGGCAGCTGCACAACACAGTGGCCAGGTGGCTGCAGCCCGGTCCCACAGAGTGAGAAGCTCGTCTGCTGGATATGGCAGTGCTTGTGAAGGGCTCCTGGCAGACACCGGAATGGGTCCACTGCCACCATCTGGCCTGGATATCATGGTAAAGCGGGCAGAAGACCACAGAGGATGGGCTGTTGGAGCAGCTGAATCAGAATTTAAAGTCCATGATTCATAAATTCATTCACGAGGACAAACGCAATTGGGATGGCTGGTTAGACCCTCTGTTGTTTGCAATGCGGGAGGTTCCCCAGGCCTCCATGGGATTTTCTCCCTTTGAGTTAATGTTTGGCCAGAAGCAGCAAGGGTTGTAGGACCGAATTAAAGAAACCTGGGAGGAAGGTTTAAGCTCAGCAAAAAATGAGACTCAATACCTTGTGGACCTGAGAGCAAAGCTACACACTTTGGGGATGTTGTCACAATAAAATTTGCTGCAGGCCCAAGAATGTCAGCAGCGGCTGTACAACAGAGAGTCTAGACCAGAGGTCTCCAACTCCAGTTCAAGAGAGCTACTGTCCTGCAGCTTTTGGATGCATCCTTGTTACAATACACCTGAATCAAATGAATGGCTTGTTACCAGGCCTTTGCCAAACTTGATGGCATTCCAAAGAGCTAATTCAACCATTTGATTCAGCTTGGTTGGAGTAGGGATGCTTCTAAAAGCTGCAGGACAATAGCTCTCAAGGACTGGAGATGGAGACCCTGGTCTAACTGTAGGGTCTGTAGGGCTGTGCCTGTGGGAAATTGTTCAGAGAGAAAACTGTTCAGAGAGAATTGGCTAAAATGCTGAAAATGGGGGTAATAAAAGAGTTACACAGGGCGTGGTGTAGCCCCATAGTTCTTGTGATGAAGAAAAATGGGTCTATACATTTCTATGTCTACTACCGCAAGGTAAATGAGATTAATGCTTATCCCATTCCCCGGGCCAATAAGCTCATTGACCAGTTAGGCACTGCTATTTTTTTCACAACTCTGGATTTAACCAAGGACTACTGGCAGAGTCCTCTGTCTGTAGAGTCCAAGGGAAAGAAATGAAGCTAATATGGAAAATAAAGCACATTTTCTACTTCATCAGTACTCTCACTACAATTCTGGATCAAATGAAGGCTTTTCAGTGAGCTTTTAGAAGAACTTGATAATAGTGGATTACAATTTCCAGCCTAGAAGTAAATAAATAGGTTCTCAGCATGGGTGATGGGTTTTACTGTAGGAATTAAAAGTCAAGTTTTAAAGGGCCCATTTTTTCCATGTGTGTGTATATACACAGCAGATATACAGATTTATGTATGTACAAAAATTTTGAAAGTGCTGAAAATGATTTAGGCATGTTTAAATGCACCGTGCTACCACTGAGAGGTTTTTTACCCCATCCTCCCCAGTCATGGAAAGTTAAGGTTTCACCTGCACTGATGAGAAGAACCAGAGTGGTGATTGTGTGCATTGGGTGTCATGCGACCAGTTTCACGTGCACATTCGAATGCACATGTACAAGAGTGTGCACTGATTAATTGATTTCAATTCTGTTTGTTACTAAAAGACCAAAAATATGGTCCCACTAAAATCTGGCTCAGGGTGGGGCTGCGCAGGGCACACAGCAGGCTCTGGTGGTGGCTGATTCTCAGCACAAGAGAGCAGGCATAGTCTCGAACAAAGACGCTGGCAGGTGGCAGCGTTGAGAACTCAGCAGACACCGGGAAACAAGCTGACACAGGAGGCTGGGGTGGCACGGCTGAGCCCCCAGTTGATGCAGGAGGCAGCACTGGTCCACGGCCCTCAGAGTGCCGGGGGTTGGCTGGAGCCTCAAACTAAGTCTCTGTGTAGGCCATTACATAGTTTCAGTCTCTGGCAGAACCAGGTTAGCAGCACTTCCAACAGCCTCAGAAGTGGAGAGCTTGGGAACATAATAAGCAGTCTTTGTAAGTGAGTCAAGCAAAGCAAATGTAATGACCTTAAGAGTTGAGAGTTTCTGGGTTAGCAGGCTGGGAAACATCAACAGTCTTTCTTTTCATTTTCTCCAGCTTGGGAGATAATAAGGAGAAAAGTTGTTGTCACTTACCCAGAGCAGTATTCTGATGCTCCGGAATGGGCCACAGATGGAGCCACAGATTCTGGTAGAGGTGAGAAAGCGCCGTTTCCTTCTCAAATAAGAAGGAGAGGACACTGGAAGAGCAGTGGAGACACAGGAAGAGGAGGTGGCTGACTTTCAATCTTTCCAATTTGACTTCCATTTTTTCCACTGACTTCCAATCATTCACTATGAAAGACAGGAGGTCATGATCACAGAATATATAAAAGAAAAGATTGGTCTCTTCTTGTCTCTTGTGTTGGACTGAGGCCAGACTGGACACCACAGTGACCCACCATCTCATTCTGCCTTAAAAAGTCGTATTAAACAGTTGAA